TCTCCCACCCTCTCTCTTCCCCTCTCCCACCTCCTTTTCCCAGTCTCTCCAGAGGCTAATCCCCCCTCCCCCCAGTTTTGTTAAATAAAGAGAGTTTCTATTTTTGAACACACATGTCCTTTATTTTTTATATCAGGAAGGGGGGCTAGGGAGGAGTAAGTGGAAGGAGGTGAGGGAGGAATGGGGCACAAGCCCCCAATGGGGAGGACTGGGGTGGCTCTGTGGGCTCCTCGGGGTGGAAGCTCTTCTGCAGGGCCTCCTGGATCCTGACAGTCCTCCGATTGACCCCTCTGGATGGCAGCCTCCGGCAAGTGCACCCGGGCTGATGGCCGAGTGCTGTGATGTGCCGAGTGAGGGCACTCAGGGCACTCCAAGACAGGACTGCTTTGCTGTCCTTCATCGAGGTAGACAAGCAAGTGGGGAACCCTGAGAACTGTCTGTCCGGGGTGGGAGTCGGGTCCCTTTAAGCACAGCCCTTGGCTAGCTTGAGGCAGCAGCTCCACACTCTAAGTCCTAACCTGATGCCCTGCCGGCCAGCCTTAACTTCAGTTCAGGGACCACTCAATGTGGACATACTATTTTGAATTAGGAAAATGCTAATTTGAATTAGTTTTTAGGTGTAGATGCACTAATTCGAATTAGCTTAGTTCGAATTAACTAATTCGAATTAAGTTAGTTCGAATTAGTGTAGACATACCCTATGTTGCTTTAAGCTAAATAAGAGGAAGCTGTATATAGGAAGCCCTCACTATTTGTGGGAGATATGTTCTCAGATTACTGTGAATGGCAAAATCTATCAATACTGGGTGCTGGGGGTGTTTCTGATATAAGTAACCACATTTATAGACCCACTTATAGTTTCTGGCACTGACCTCATCTAACAGTGATGAATTAAGCCCCAAAACTTCATATAAATAATACTATATAAATGCAGAAGATTTCTATTCACAATATTGCAGTCTATTTCTATTCACAATATTGAGGACAATGTTGCCCATCTATGGGATGTAGAGAGTAGATGGTTAAACTTTCACATCCCTAATTATAATATTATTGTCCTATTAGGGATATAAGAGTGCAGTCATTTAACTGGGTAACCAATAAGCCTGAGATTATTGGTTACCCAAACGGCTACACAGCTATAGATACAGCTGCTGGGGAGCAGTCTGCAGTCGCACACTGCTGCTTCCGATATAAAGGCAGCAGCACGGGGAAGCAGCCAGCTCCCCAGGAGTGAGGTGGCAGGCAGAATCCAGTGCACGCTGACTCCTTGCACCAGTTCCAGGGGAACTGGCTGCCGCCTCGTGTGTAACCGCTGAAATTTTCAGTGATTATATTGTTCATCAGTTACATTCATTTTAACATCTCTATATCCTACATACCCTTATCAATTTCATGGACATAAAAAACACATCATGAACTGTGAAGCAAGCCTTCCATGTGAAATCCAGTGGCCCTTGTTTCTAGGACCACTCTAGAAATGGGGGCTACTAGTGACAGCCGAGCTGGGGAGAGACAGGAATCGACCATCCTCTGCACAGCTGATTTGGGGGGGGGGAAACCAAACGCAGCTCTGGATCCTTACCTTCTCTGCTTCAGGATGCTCTGGGACTGGGAAGCAGCCCCAGATATTCTTGAAGCTGGAGGACACTTGTGGACTTGGATTGATCTTCCCTGTGTGCTACTGGGCATACCCCAGCAGGGAGCTCCTAACTGCAAGTTTGGGCAAGGTTAGGGCAGGACAAGACTTGCTCTTTCCTGGCAGGGCTGTCTGTGTCTCTCTCCTCACTGCAAAAAGCTCCACATACCTTCCTCCTTACTCTGTCCAGCTCAGAAGGCAGCATAAAAGTGAGATTGGCAATCAAATAAGCCCTCTAGAACAGGTTTGTACTCCCCCCCACCATATCCACTTTTGGGTTGGGACCCACATGGTTGCAACACTGTGAAATTTCAGATTTAAACACCTGAAAATAGCAAAAAAGCTTGCCGGATGCTGCTGCTGTATCATCATCTAATAGTGGCTGGGAAGCCAACACAATTAAGATTAAGAGCCCATGTAACCTATGGCAGCAACACAACTCCATCATAGGAAGTACTGTCAACCTTGGCATCTCATCCAACTGCTTCCCCCAACCTACCTATATTATGCCTCAGTCTAATTCAATCTGAGATTCAGCTAACACATTCTCATGGATATGAAGTTTTCCTCAGACACTGGCTGGATCAGGAAAAAAGTTCTGAGTGCCATTAGTATCTTTTTACTAACCCTCCTAATGGCTCATATATACACTAAACAGAAAGAGAACATGGATCCCTAAGTATTGCAACATAATAGTGCCCACTATGTGAAGGAGGAAATCTCCTTATATCATTTTCTGGAAATATTTAGATGGCGAAGAAAGCCACCCACGAGCAGGTCTGTCAACACATTCTGCAGTCCACACCACATGTTCAGGCATTGCATGGATTCTCAACCCATGGTCTGTGTTGGCTTCCCAGTCACTACCGGACAATAATGCAGCAGCAGTATCGAGGATGCTTTTACCATCTGAGTGTGACCTGACCTTCATCTGCTGCTAGAAGTCTATCAACTCACATATTCAGTGCAGTTTACGTTTCATATTGAAGTTGGTAACCAGATTAGCAAATCTCACAGAGATCAGTGTGGTGACCTATTATTTTAACAAAAAATGGATGCTAGTGATCAATCAGTACCCAAATTGTCAGCACAAAGTGGTGTTTTCTTGAGCAAAGGATACACCATCCCTTCTGTAAGAGACGCTGGTAGCCTTACCTCCTTAGCAGAGGCACTAACAATCATAACTAGCCTACTAGTGTTCACCACCCAGGCCAGACATGGATGCACAGGGCAGGCTGTGAGACTACATGGGCTATGCTAGCTGTACATTAGCACATTAATCATTTTTCCTTAGCCTACATTTAACCAGGAAAGAGCTAGCATTTCATATCTCTGTAGCCATGGAAGCTGACATTTTGACTCAAATCCTACCCCTTACTTCACCTGATCGAGAAAGGTCAGTGGAAACACTTATCCGCGTGTAAGATCTACCCTTTTTTCCTTTTTTGGGTCTGAACCCCCAAAAAAGCACAAAAAGTCATGTACATGTTGCTTGCATGTATATATGTGCAAGTGTACATTGGTACAATCAATCTTTGTTGCAACTCTCAGAAGAAGAATTACGGTATTACCCAAATTAAAAGAGGAATGCAAGTTGCTGCTTAATGATATTTTATTATTATTAAACAAACTCCTCCTGTGTTAGACTGGGATCATTGGTAAGTCTGGCTTGTTTTCAAAGGGAAGTAGGAGGAGTACAGCCAGTATCAGGTGTCCCATCTGTTTTATTAATTGAAAATATACGATGCTTTTTCTATTAACTCCTGATCATCCTTCAGGAGATGCTAGATTCATCTGGTTATTGGGAGAGTATGATGAATTAATGCAGGGGCGGGGAACCTAAGGCCCTGAGGCCAGATGCAGAATGCAGCTCCCAGCTTGCCTGAATCTGGCCCCAGGGACTCAGACCTCCCCCAACACCAGCATTGGGGAGCCCGTGCTAATTTTGTTTTGTGCTGTTTAGGGTTTTTGTTTTTTTGTTTTGGTATTTATTTATTACTTTTCACTTCTGTGCAATTCCCAACAGAGGGTCAGCGACCCTCAACCCAAACAAGTAAGCATAGGATGAGCATTGTATGGTCTGTGATATTGCTCTGTTTTCAGATTTTTCTGAGTTAAAGTTATATATATTGTGCTTCTGCTCATTTTCATTTTCTGTCCTTAATAGAAATTTCAACTAAAAATTGTCAACTAGTGACCACCAGATTACTTTGGTCAATTCTAGATATTTTTCCCTCTTACCACTGGATGCTCGAACTGAAACCAATAAAGGTCAGTGGAAACAAATGTCTCAATACCACTCCCATTATATCAATGCCAAACTCTGAATAGATTTCAATGGCTCCAGGATTAGATAAAAAGAAGACTATGGAATCCATCAACAGGATTATTATAGCTAGGGATGTCAACATGTAAACGTCTACATGATTAACCAATAAGCCTGGGCTTATCAGTTAATCTTGTCGATTATTTGCATTATGCCCCCCCTTGCTCATTCTGTATCAGAGGCACCAAGGGACGGGGAGTGAGACCCAGTGTCTGTGATGAGCTGGCACTGATCCACTTGGCTCCTCCCACCCCTGCGCTGCTGCCTCTGATATCATATCCTCTAAAATATCTGATCCATAAAACATACTAACTCAGGGCACTGTGTTGTTCTCTGTGTGAGGCAGCAGTGTAGAGGGTGAGGGGGTAAGGCTGAAGTCAACACGTGCAGGAAGCCGGCTGCAAGCAAGCTCCCCTTGTGTGTCAACTCCGCAGACTCTCCTGCCTCACCTTGCTGCCTCATACAGAGTTGGGGGAAGGAGCCAGTTGAAAGCCAGTTCCCTGCAGCATCAGCTCTCCACTGCTGCTCCCGCACATGCTGCTGCCTTTACCAGAGGCAGAAGCGTGGCAGGGGAATTTGCCACAAAGCAGCCTCTGTCCGTGGCAGACTCGAGCTCTCCACGTATGCTGGGTGCTCCACATCCCACAGAGCAGCCTCTAATCATAGTGAGCCTGTATCAAAGGCAGCAGCGTGGGGCAACAGGCAGCCATTTTTAAACCGGCTCCCCTCACAGACCGACCCAATCCCAGGAGACTATCAAATAGTCATGTAACCACTAAGATTTCATGCAGTTACATGACTATTCAATTACACAATATCTAATACCCCTAATTATATCATCTACTATAATTTCCCTATGAGTATGTAAGCAAGATATACACACAGAGAGAACACCACAGTGCTCTGAGTTAGCATGTTTTATGGATCAGATATTTTAGAGGATATGAAATAAAAACATCTGTTTTACTCTATATTACATACTTTGTTGTTTTTATGCACATCACTAACAAAAAATCTGTTTTCAAATTTGTAAGTAAGTTTTCAAGAATATTTTCTTACACATTTTCCACTCGAACTCGTTGATAGTCAGAAAGAATGGCGCCTACCGAGACACCTTCCACGGCTTCCTTGTCCTTAGGGGAAAAATAGAAAAGGAACGGTGGCGTTACAAATACATTAATGCACATGCTCATTGGCAGACTGAAGATTCAGAAATACAGAGTAATTCACTTTGAAAACTTAATAGTACCTTTTCTAAATATTTTATAAATACCTAATTTTTTTTAAAAAGAAAAAAGAAAAAGTGAGTAGGCTGTTAGGCAGATCTCTGCACAAGTCGGAGGCACAGCAGTGGTAGAATTGCTCTGTGGATATTACTCCAACCTCAAAGGGAGCATTACCTTTAGTACAACTACTCTTACAGAGGAAATTTCCAGTGTACTTACAAAGCTTTAGGCCCTATCCTGCTCTAGTACTTTTCATTCGAACAGGAGAAAGGCACGATTTGCCATTTTGTCTGAGAGCACAAATTAAGGCTTATTATGTTCCTCCCTCTTACGATCCAGGCTAAAATATTTTGCACCACAAAGGAAGTCTCTGAGGATTCCTCATAATTTTTTCTCTATTTTAAATACAGGCCATCCTCACTATAAGTCCAAGACACATTCCAAAAAACTTGGACTTACAGCGAAACAACTTAAAGCAGGCATTTTTTTTCCCTGCGGCTGAATTCTATTTGCACAAATTGCGGAGTTTTACTGAGCGACTTAAGAGCGGGGAATGGGAGGACTTATAACATATCCTACAAGCGTGAACATCTTTAGAGTGGACCAGATGTATACCGGGGCAACTTATAGTGGGGACACCTGTACTTTACTCTTCTCCCAGCAATGAACCTCTAGTCTCCAGTCTGGGAAAAATGGTACAGTCAATCATTATTTTTCCTTAAAAGATATGTCGGTCACCTTAAGGAAGATCATTCCACCAACAAACAAATCTTATCAAGATACAGTGGTCACCATTAAACAGTATTTGCAAACATATGACAGAAAGGAGTGAGATTATGATGCTTTTCTAATACACAGAGCAGTAGATATCTATGGTAACTGTGAATGCTGACTTCGATAGCTTCCGTTATAAAACAGATTTTGGGAAGTTTTCCCATATGATCTTTGTCTCCATTTTTAATTACTTATGTTGATTTTTTGCAAATATCTTATAAAACATTACATTTAAAAATGTATATACATTTAAAATGATTCTTAGAAACCATCTGCATTTGGTTTGTTTGATTCAAGTTCATATCAGAACCTATTTACTGGGATAGAAGTAGCATTCTTTTTCCTAAATTTTCACCCAATAAAACTGACTTGAGCCAAATTAGTTTTCTTACCATGGTTGATCATGGTTTAAAGATGTAACTTCTCCTCTGAGGTTGCTCTGCCTTGTACCATTCCTGTGAAGTTTGCAGCAAGACTTTCTCACAAAACTTTTATCTATAAATCTATCCTCCATGTATGTTTCTCAGAATGAAATTGGTCTTTTTTGCCATGACATTCAATTGAAAACTCATAGTCAGTTTCTTATCAGTAATTACCCCCCAAGTCACTTGCTTCATAACTATTTTTTAAGATAACAATTCCCTGTTTTATCCTGGAGCTGCATTATCCTTTCCTTAGTGTATTATTTTATAGGTCTTTACATTAATTCTCATCTCATACCAGTCCAACCAAATTCCCAAGTTGTTCATATTCAACTGTATTTTTGATTGAAAATCCTCTCTATTTGTTGTAACTCCTAGCTGTATCATCTGCAAATTTGATCACTATTGAATTTACATTCTCCTTCAGGTCATTAATGAATGTTGAATACTGATTTCAATATCAAGTTCTATATGGGATTCCACTTGATGCCTCTGCACATTCTGCAATAATACTATTGATAATAAGTTATTATATCTTATCTGTCAGCAGTTCATTATCCATTGATATTATTATCTAGACAGTATTCCGGCTGCTTTTCTTTGAGAATCCTGTACAATACTAAATCAAAGGACATTTAAAAATATAGATAAATTACATCCATTGCATGTCCCTTACCACCCAGTCTGTTACTACATTTGAAAAAGGAAAAGGAAAAGAAAGTAGTAATCAAGCTAAGCAGAATTGTCTCTGAATAAAATTCTTTTTTTAAAATTTTCTATTGAGCTTTCTTGAGTATTTAACTACTTAATGTGTATACTATGCATTTGGAAGCTTTTCTCAAGTATTTCTTTGTTCTGGTTGACTTTGATATGTGAGATATGTGTAGTACTACTAGTAATACTAATAGCACTTAAATAGCACAGTCAGGTTCAAAGCACTTTATAAAACTGTATAATTAATCCCCATAACAACTTTGTTAGGTACAGCAGCTAAGTATTATTCCGTAAATTTTCATTTTATATAAATAGTATATGCTTCTCATTTTAGTTAGAATTACTTAGTTAGAGGCTATACCATGAAATAAGTATTGTAGTTTAATTACATTAATGCACTTCTCAAAAGATTTAAGTTCACTTGGCCTTCATGCTTGTGCCTTATATATATCCATGGAGTATTAATAGATCAATGACCTACTGAACAAAATACAAATGATGTCACTATAATACATACTGCTCATTACCACATTTACAACCAGATTTTCTGCTTAGCCTTGTGCCATCATTTTGTGAAAATCATCTCATGGTGTGAAGTGAGAGTTTTCTATTTTCATTAATTTTCTTAAAGTTCTCAGTGACCATTTCTAAAAGTGAATGTTTTTATCATAAAACATCTGAATGAACTGTTCCTTCTGAAGCTCTAAAAATAAAAATATTTATAGTAAACTAAGACTTTGCGGTCACATTTTAAGCAACAGAGCTATAAATCAAAAAACAACAACCAGTGTTGTATAACCAAAGCATGACTTCTGTTAATTGTTACTACTATGAATGAATGACACACTGTCATCCTCATTCTAATTACTGGGTATTTCTATATCTCACCCAGCTTCTGAGATGTATTTAGATATGACTTGTTCTCTACAATATAGCAAAACAGCACAAGAACAAGCTATTGACTTTATATTCTGGCTGAATTCACTCTTAGCTCGTCACTGTTTTGCTTCGCCTTTATCAGTTTTTCTGGAATTATATTGTGCCAACAAAGGCATAAACATTAGCAAGTATGCTTTACACACAAATATTCATCCTAAGTTCCTACTTCATGATTCATACGACTCTATTGTCTGGCTATATCAAAAGAAACTCAGGAGATATTTGATATCAGGATGCAATGTTATTAGATGTCTGGGATTCCCCAGCAGATAAGAGCGTACAGTTCAGGTAACAGGTAAAATCCATGCTTATTTCATAATTATATGAGTGGCTTCCACCAGCTCCTCCAGTTTTCCCATCCAGGTCCCTCCAGCAAATCTACTGATGGGAACTTACCTTGTAGGAAGGTTAAAGTGGGATATAAGAATGAGAAGCTGGCTCCCTGCCATACTAATCATAGGAAAGTCTTCAACTGCTCTCCCATTCGTTCCTTTAACAAACACCTCTTTTTAAGTCCTTTTCCAAGCCATTTATCAGGTCACTATGTCTTTTCCAATGGAGTATCTGCACTGGTCACCCACGTCATCAATTAGCTTGGCTGCCTCCTCTAAAACCCAGTCGTTTTCCCAGACATCTCTTACTACCCCAGTTTTACACTGCCATAAACAAATATATTCCACTGCTTTACAGGAGAATTTCATCCTCCCTGAAAGTGGTGCCCCAGGATGCCCTAACTGCTGAGCCTATTATGACCCCCCAAAGGATTTGGCTGTCCCCCTATTAGAATCTGTTGTGTCTAGTCCACCCAGGTGGCTCTCCACGGCTCTCAACCAAACACTACATGAACGCATGTCTGAAAACACAGAGCTGCGTTAAATACCTTCTTGTTCTGGCAGTAACTGAACTCCTTTACACATTCCCAAATAGTGTTCTCCACTGTGTGCCACAACATTATGTCAGCAACTGCTGACAGGCCTGTATGGCGCACAGCAGGGGCATCACCTCATTAAATAACATGCTTCACCTTCCATGCCCTGTCACTGGACCCCAGTTGCCGCCTCTTAAGGCCATTAGGATGTCCACTATGTGCTTAAGAAAAACAGTCCTGTGCCCACAGATCCATACCACTGCCTTCATAGTCGATTTTCCAGCACATGCAATGGATCCACAACATATTAATGGTGACTCACCACCCAAGGTTTCTCACATGTATTGTATGCTTCTGAATGCCAATGATCAATTGTCTGAATTGCCTGTGGCCCCGCACCCAGCAGTACTGCTGCTGTTGTGGCTCCTGACTGCAAATGAGTGAGAACCAAATTCCATGGGGCAGAACAAAGCTCAGAGCCTATCCAAAAGTTAAGAAATGCTCCCCAGCCTCCTTGATCAGTCAAATTTAATATCCCTGCTTGTTCTTCATAGCACAGTTCTAAGCCCCTTTCCCACCATCTCCACATTTACAACTGCCCACATATGTAATTTAATTCACTTCATTCTTCTTCAGTTTCACAGCATCCCCTAAATGTTCCTTCAGAGGAGCAACATGTAAATCTTGTATAGCGAATCTAGCTGCTAAGGTGCCAGTGTGAGAGGAAATTAAGAGCTTAAACAATTATGGGGATAACTAATGACAGCTTGTGAGTAACTTGACTTTGTTAACAGCCCCTTCAGCATGATTTACTCATAAAGGACCAAGATCCTGATCCATCCTAATAGGTATGGACCCATCCACTGAAGTCAAAAGGAATTGCAGATGCTCAGCATTACTCAGAATCAAGTCCTACAATAATTTCTCCTGTTATGAATGATTTTTCCGTCACTGTGAGGGTTTATTACATTAATTTGCTATTTTTGTTTTATGTGCTGCAAAAATGCACAATCTACTTTTGTCATTTGACTAGTTGACTAGTCAATTAGAATTCAGATTAAGTTTTATCTTGCATCAGTCCCAATGATGAAATATACTGACATGCAATAACTTTATCCAGTAAGCAATTTTACAGCACCAGTATTGTTTTCTTCAACATATTGTAATTAAATATGGATATTGTTAATGGT